TCCTCCTCCTCCTCCTCCTCCTCTCCTTCTCCTTCTCCTTCTCCTTCTCCTTCTCCTTTTTTTGTTAATGTATTTGGTACAGTCTCATTACATGGCTAGGACTCATAGTGATCCTCCTATTTTCAACCTCTCCAGCGCTGGGATTATAGGACTGTGCTGTCACGCCCGGTCTTTGTGGCTGGCTCAGTGCACCCTGGGGGCAGGGCTGGCATGGCATGTGGTGCTGGTAAAATTGAACTTCAAAAGTTTTATTTTAAGAAAATGTCTGCAATCACTTCATATGTGTACATTTCTCCCATTTTTCAGAAGCTGTTTTCCTTGGGTGCGGGAGATAGACAGCTGATTCAGACTCCTTTACATGATAGTCTTCCTGTCACAGGCACTAGTGTGGCTCTCCTGTTCCAGCAGTTGGGTATGCCTTTTCTCTCATTTTCAGTGTCCTCGTGTTAAAGTCTATTAAATTTTTTAAAAATTTATATTACATGATATAAATTAAAAAATATAAAACTATTAAATGTCTCTTCCAACTTGGGAATACAGGGAGGAGATCTGAGTGGAGTTTGCATCACACATTCTGGCTGTGGAGTAGGAGGTTGCCTGAGGGATTTATTTTTGTGTCATTTCATTGGGAGCATGACAGTGAACTGTCCTGGGTTGAATATCTGAGGATTACTGAGAGCAAAAAAGTAGATTAGGGAGACAGTTGCTGTGGCCTACAAGGTTTAATGCAGTTGTAAAAAGGCATACAAACTGGGCATGGTGGTGCACCCCCATGATCCCAGCACTCATGATGCCAGCATTTGGTAGGCTGAAACAGAAGATTCCCCATGAGCTCAAGGCCAACCTGGGCTATATATCGAGACCATGTCTCAAACAAAACAAACAACAAAAAAAAGCACACAGTTTGAGGATATTCTTCAGGATAAGGAGAAAGAGATAGTGTTGTGGTATTTCAGAGGGCAGCTTGTATATTGGAGAACATTTTGAGGAATTAGAACCATTATTCTTCTTTAATAGGAATATGAAATAGAATGGTATATTGAAATATGGTTTAAGCAAACCATGAAACCCAACCATTCCCCTCCTAGGCATTTACCCAAGGAAAATAATAGTATATTTTTTACATAAATACCCATATTCATTACACAAAAATTAGAAACATACAGTGTTTATCAATGGTAATTATTAACTGGAAATGGATAAAACAAAACCTATGGTTTATACAGTGGAATAAATGATACAAGGGAATGAATTGCATTGGTGCATACAGTATAGATTAAAATGAAAATGATTATGTTAAAGAAAAACCACCAGGCAAGAGAGAATATATACTATATGATTTAATTTTATTGAGTTCTAAAACTATAGTCTAGGTGGGACCACAGGTGAGGAGAGAGGCTCAGGCCCCACACTGTTGCCTCACAGGCCATGTGGGAGGTGTCTTTGCTTCAGATACCTGCACTCATGTGCCCCTGTGGTGAGGAACAAGTCCTCACCACAACTCCACTGTTAACACCAGTGCCTTGCAGGCTGAGCAGAAGAGGAGAAAGGCATTACCCAATCTCTACCCCTGACACCTTGTACACCTTGAAGGTGAGGAGAAAGTGAGTCCCCCTCCCCCAATCACTGGCACTTCATGCACTGTGCAGTATAGGGCAACAGAGATGACAGACGAAAGACTGATCTCATACTGGAAGAGACCAACACCCAAGAAGACCGTTTTGTTCCAGGACTGAAATGTTACCTTGCCACAGAAACTGGGTAAGAGATAGCCTTGGGAAACAGACTTGGAGAAGATAACTACTATAGCCAAAGTGACATAATTGGTGGTGTCAGTTGGTTTTATCTGTATGCCAATATTTGGATTGTCTAAAAGTGATAAAAAGTAGCAAGTTTTATTCTTGCAGAATGGGGTACTAGGCCCTAAAAGCTGCAAATCCTAGCACAGAAAATAATTTAAAGAATAGTAATATGAGGAGACCGGGGAATAGCTCAGTAGAGTAAGTGCTTGCCTGGCAAGTGCAGGGTCCTGAGTTCAATCCCTGTTACCACCAAAAAAAAAAAAAAAAAAAAAAAAGTAAAATGAGAAAACAAGACAAAAAAATGCCTCCTAACTCCCCCAAACTGATCATGCATAGGATATTGAGGGAGCAGATATCATAAGCCACACAGCAGAAATGTCTAGAAGAATATCAGCAGTGGTAATGAAACAGTTAAGTCCGTGACTCCAGTGGCATCAAGTATGAGCCAGATACTAACCCTAAGAACCATTCATGACACCAGCCTTAACAGAGCAAAAATGTCTATGCTTAATTGATTTACTACAGTAACTCATTTTAAGATCATGTACAGTTTAGTAACCATTGTTATTCTCTATAATTACTTTGTTATAAAAATTTTTGTTTTTTCTTAGAAGTAAAAATATTTTTATTATCTTTATTAATATCTATCTGTATTAAAATTTAAAATAAATATATAAATAACGAATGTGCAAACCCAAAAAAATGCAGTCTGTATGCTGACAGAAACAGGTCACTGGTTGCCTTGTAGATGAAAAGACACAGATAAAAGGAACTTGAATCTTTTGGATAATTTGTGTTCAGAATTTTAATAGTGGTGATAGTTTTTTAAGTATATATACCTATAAAAGCATATCCTATTCTAAAAGAAAATTTTAAAAAATACTCAACTTGTACAAGAATGTTCACAGAAGCACTAAAACAGAATAGGCAATGGGGGCCAACGAGATAGCTCAGCAGACTAAAGCACCTGCTTAGGCAAGCTCAAGCAAAACAGGAGGACAATAGTTCTATCCTAGGCATCATATGCCTGGCCAGCCCCATTCCCAGGGTGAGTTGAGCTGGCCAGAGATCAGGCGTGGTGGCATAGGCCTGTAATCCCAGCGCTGGAGAGGCTGAAAACAGGATCACCATAAGTCCGAGCTGCATTGTGAAACCCTGTAACAACAAAATACAATTCAAAAAAAAAGACATAATAAACAAAAATGAAAACAACTCAAGTGGCAATCAGGAATAGATAAAGAAATTGTGTTATATGTTTATATCCATATAATTTAAAATTATTCAGCTATAAAAAAGAGTACTATATTTCACATACTTTAATGTGGATAAATCTTGAAAACATGTTAAATGGAAGAATGTAGGCAGAGAAGGTCACTTATTGTGTGATTCTTTTTATATGAAATGCTCATAATAGACAAATATATGCAGACAGAAAATAGACTGGTTACCAGGGGTGAGCTGGGGGAAAATTGGAAGTGACAGCTTATGGGTACAGGATTTGTCATGGGTAATGAGATAGTTCTGGGTTGATTCTAATAAGGGTTTCATGCCCTATTGAGTATACTAAATATCATTGAATTGTATACTTTAAACAGTAAATTTTATACCATATGAATCGTATTTTAGTAAAGAAACTATTAGGGCTTTGTCAAAATAACCCAGGTGTCATCTTAAAAAGGCATGATCTAAGATGATAGGACTTGAGTTTTTAAAATTATAATTACAGTTGTTTGAAATCCAGAAAATAGGTTAAGATTGAGTTCATAGTATTAGACCATAAAAGAATATGACAGCGTGCCAGTTGTCTCGAAAACTTATTAGTAAAGGAAAAAGAATCATGGCCACCTAATACATGTAGTAGTTGAGGGGAATTTTTAGAAGTATTCTCATTAATAAATGGAAAAGATTTTCAAGCCTGAACAGCTGAAGATCTAAGCACCAACAGCTGTGATCTCTAAGTATCACAAGAAAAAAATAAAATAATGGGTGCTAGACTTGCCACACAATACCTGTAATTTTATCAGTCTCAAGATAAAAAAGCTGAAGATAGAGCTTGCTAAATTATACCAAGAAAATATGATCAAAATCTCAACTTTTAGAAACTTATTCAAATGTCCCAGGTCCTTTAATAAGTATATGAATTATAAAGAAAGGACATTAGAGGAAGCATCTATAATTGAAAGAGATTTAAAAGATATAACAGGTTTTAGTAGCATGAGATTGAACCATAGTATCTGTAGTTCTATGGGACTGTACATGTGGATGCTGAAATTCATTAAAGTGGTTAATAGCAAAGTCAGGACAGTTTTGTTAGTAAAGAATGATTGGGGACATGGTTTGTTGGTGTAGGTGGTGTTTGTAACATAATTGCTCAAGTCCTACATTTGACTTGTGTGGTTTTCTCTGAGATAGATAGATAGATAGATAGATAGATAGATAGATAGATAGATAGATAGATAGATAGATATGATTGAACTCAGGACCTTGCACTTTCCAGGCAGGCACTGAGCTATATATCCCTGGCTCTTTTTTTGTTTTTTTGAGACAGGGTCTTGCTGTTATAGTTCAGGCTGCCCTTGAACTATATAGCCCAGGCTGGTCTCGAATGTGTGGCAATCTTTCTGTCTCAGCTTCCCAAGTACTGGGATTTCAGGGGTGTGCCATGTATCTGTATTTTATTTTACTATAAAAAGATTTGTTAAAAAAGATTAACTTATGGGGGGCCTGCTGGTTAGCTCAGTTGTTTAAGTGCCTGCTTATGCAAACGCAGTCAGGTGCAGGTTACTGTGGTTCAATCCCCAGCTCCACATGCCTTACCAGACCC